TCAAACGTGTTGTATCGAAAGACGAAGATAATTCAGCCTATCTATAAACTACTACGAAAGGTCAGCCACTTTATTTCAAGACTGACGGCAGAAGGAGACTTGAAAATAATAATAGTAATAATAATAATAGTGCCAGCCAAAGTGCAGTGGATCACAAATTATTCCTCCCCACGCCGCTTAACGGCAGAAGTGGTTTGTGATGATGATTATGATGTATAATAATGATGTATAATATTGATAATTATAATAATAATAATGAAAATAGGAAAAATAAGAAAATAACCCTTCACTGTTACATATGGTTGTGTGATATATGAATGCAAAACCATACTGTGAATTCTAATCAAGCTTACCCTGAAATCTCTCTCCACTTGTTCCTTATGGGAAAGTTCTTTTTCGTATTTCTTCTCAAGTACACTGTACCTTATAAAGGACATGTACATTAACAAATAGTTGTCATTGTTTTCTGTGAAGTTGTCTAAGTGTAACATAACTATTACATTTTCATGCGTTCAAAAACAGTACAAGACTAGACAAGAAAAGGGTACTGTAAAACAGACACAGAAAAATGGTACGTAAGACATGGATAATTCTTCTTCTTCTTCTTCCTTTCTTCTTCTTCTTCTTCTTCTTCTTCTTCTTCTTCTTCTTCTTCTTCTTCTTCTTCTTCTTCTTCTTCTTCTTCTTCTTCTTTTTCTTCTTCTGCTTCTGCTTCTGCTTCTTCTTCTTCTTCTTCTTCTTCTTCTTCTTCTTCTTCTTCTTCTTCTTCTTCTTCTTCTTCTTCCTCTTCTTCTTCTTTCGTTCTTTGTATTCTCATCTCTCTTTCTTTCACGTCTTCTTTTCTCCTTCATCATCATCATTTTCATAATCTGTATAATCATTATCTTTACAATCATCTACTTCTACCGCCACCACTATTACTACTATTACTAATACTGCTACAACTATTACTACTGCTGCCACAACTACTACTAATACCATTACTAATGCGAAATTACTATAGTGCTTTCAAAACTGATGTCATCACACTTTAACAAATGTCTCGTAAACCCCCTGTACGGATCAATATGAATGTGAGAATGTTGTCTTAGATTTCCCGTGTCCTTGCGCAGATGCTGGTGTTTTCTTAAAGCGGCGAATTTCTTTGATATTTTTTGACAAATAGTTTCTGTGCCCCTCAAGGGGGTAAAAAAAAGGGAATTTCACTGACTGGCACTTGTGGAGGTTGTTTGGATATCAGTTAACATGTGCAGTCATGCGTGGTTATTATTTTGATAACCTATTACCCATACAATGAAAAATCCGCATCTCACGGGAGACTTATGTTGGAGATGACCACTAGAGAGTGAAACACCTACAACACGCCTGCAATCTGATGTTTTGAAAAGTTACCCGTACTAAATTTACTCAAGTTACTGTAAGCATGCTGATTGTTTGCTTTAAATTTGTCTTTGTTTTTCCACACACCGCAATTAAGGCAAACTTAAAACTAGATAGGTGTTTACATGAAACAATTCTTACAAGAACAATATAATTAAAAGGCTGCATGCCAAATTTCAACAAGTTACACCAACACGTTACTGAGTTACAGATTTTTGAAGTACGGCAGGAATTTTGGAACGCACTATATTGCTGCTGTTTCTCTAGCTAATAACACTACCATTCCATTTGCCGTAATAATGTCATAACCATAGAGAGAGAGATTACTATTGAGATGTGAGGTAACAACAGTCTGCACCAATTAGGCCATGTCTGTAGAAACAGATGTGCGCGCGCGCGACTAAATTCCAGAAGAAGACAAACAGGCAAAACTTTTTGCCGGATACTTACAGCCGGTCAACGCAAAGAAGAAAAGCTAGATCTGACTAAGAGTCAAGAGACGACACCACCTCACTAGGGACATTTCACTTTGAATTAATCAAGTAACAGAAAGTGTATTGATCGGCACTCTTAGAAAGAAATAGAAAGATAAAAAAAAAACACTAGACAACATAAAAATCGAAAGCTGTAGTTGCCGTGCTGGGAATTGAACCTGTCACCTCCAGACGGCGTCTGCGCCTCGCCATGGATACAAGTGCACTAAGAACATGGTCAACTAGGCATCCCCCCCCCCCAAAAAAAAAAGGTGTCTTATTGGCCATGCCTATCGTACAGCTTGAAATCCACAACTATGGAATACGGACAGAATTCATTTAAATGGCACCATAGGTTTCAGAAATTTATAAACATTTTATTCAACGCTTCAATCCTATCTTCAACATTTGCTGGATAACAAATTTGATTTGATAAATTTACTCAAGCCTAGACATCAGCTAATCAACAAAGTAGCCTAGCTGCCAGCCTCACCAACTGTCCGCCCAATGGTCTCATGTTTAAGTCCCTGGAGAGGCGAATGATTCAGTATCAAAGACCTGCGTTAAAGACCTCAAAGGCCGACCTAGTCTGAACAAGGTAATTGAGATTTCTTTTAAAGAAAACATTGTTTATCTACTTGGCTTCATCGCTAATTGAAATCTGATCAGTCTAAGACTGGTAGTCTGGTAGTCTTAGTTTCAGCTTCATAGCAACGGGTCGCCCCATCTTTGCTCCGCTCCTGTGCCAGCGAAAAACACTCAGAATGTCTATCACAGTCCCTTGTGGAAAGATTGACAGACTGCTTTCTCAGCATATCTAGCATACACTCGAATTAAAGCATATGGTAGCCATCCGAAGTGCTAACACAAACAGTCCAACATTAGAAATGCAGTTCATCATTGATGATAGCAGAACTTGTCGCCAACAGATCAGCAGTTGCCCGCGCGATCAATTTTAATACGGGCATTGCACGACAGGCATCGCGCCATTTTTTGAATCTACAATTCACACCACGTTGGTCACAGTCGAAAAAAGACATTCCACATGCAATCCGCAGCTCACAGGGTCACGCCATGCATTCAACTCAGAAGCTGGGCGACGAAACTATATCCAGTCTACAAATGGAGCAAAAATACTTCGGCCACCGTCCGGCGGAAGCAAAAAATTTGCCTCTGCTCCGAACAGCTGTCTAGCGTCCATTTTAACCGGAAGTCTAAGAATACAGGACTGGTATAACCTATAAGTATCACCTTTCACGTATAACGTCAACTGGAATCATTTTCTTCACGTTTTATCCTCGAGATAGCCACAAGAAAATTCAGTGAAACTAGGATTCAATGAAACTGGTAAATAATGACAGCGCTCAACAATTTTATGATCCATGAGTGGTACGGTTCGATGTCCATGGCGAGGGTTTGTTTTTGGAGCGGTGGTACGAGAGTCGCATCGTGGCACAGATTGGGACCTCATCGCGTAATATTCATAAAGGCAGCAGTAGCTACACTGTAGCCACATTGATAGTGAAGTCAGATTCATATAGTCATGTCCGATGTGCGATAAAGATGATCTCTACAACAAACAATGAACATCCTAAAGACAGCACCAAAACACACACACACACACACACACACAGAGAGAGAGAGAGAGAGAGAGAGAGAGAGAGAGAGAGAGAGAACACCGACACACAACACTGACACACACACAGACACACAGACACACAGATACACACAGACACACACACACACAGAAAAAACACCGACACATAACACAGACACACACACACAGATACACACACACACACAGAAAAAACACCGACACACACCACAGACACACGCACACACGCAGACACACACACCTGTGGTTTAAATTCTCAATGTCCTTTTTTGTGCAGAGCAACAACTCGCTCGGCGTCTTTGTTTGCTTTCTCCTCACATTCTTGTCTTGTTCGCTCAATGATGTCCAGCTCTTTCTGTTTGAAACTCTCCTGTTCAGAAATATTTTTTTGAATAATAACAATATTAAGCAAACAAATATAGTTTTCTTTAGCCTTTCATCGCAGAATGACACAATCCGCATTTAATCAGTTCACGAAAGCTTTTTGTTCACTTTTTCCATGATTGACTGGACATTTTAGAGTGAGCTGTTTTCCATGGGAAAAAAAAAAAAAAAACGTGCCGGTATTCATCGCAAATTGTCTACCCCAGGTACCGGAACACACAGCAAAGAGGCCATTACAGTAGTAGCAAAAAGAAATTTGGCTTAAAGGGGTACAGGTATGCGCACCGCTAGAACAAGAACCCTTGAGTGAAGTTGACATGCCAAGCCTGTTTAGTCGCCTTTTACCACATGCATGACAGGTTAGAGTGTTGCTATTCTTTGCTTCCCACTAGGACCCGGTAACAACGGGGAAAACGTTGACTGTAAGGCGATAGCATATCCACCAAGCTAAAGTGTAAAATGTCGTCAAAGAACTTTCTTTATGCCAACGGTGCATTGGGTATATATTGCTAGAACCAGAGCTTTTCTTCTAGCGATACGCAGTACCGGCGCCTTTTTGGCATCGTGTTTTCCCCCAACGCTATTGTATTATACACTTTATGGCGAGTACAAGCACTTTTTTGGCCTAAGGGAAAAAAACCTGGCTAGACATATGTTTTTATAGCCCTATTGGCACTCAGTGGGTGACGTGTCAATATCATGTCGGCTGCCTTTACTTCCCAGGCCATTACATAGTAGCCATATTAAACTGGGTTGACCAGGCAGCAAGTTCGATATTTGTGAGATGTGGGGTGCGAACCCTATACCTTTGGGTCGGTAGGCACGCAAGCTACAGTATTTATCTGTGTATAATACACCCCAATTTTATAAGACTATCCCTAATATTTTAGCACAACATTATGAACGAAATATTTTTCGATTAGAAAGGGACTCCCAATTTTAAACTTCAAAACAATCTGGGAAAACTTGTCTCAAACACGGAGAAATACCATGAATTGTGCTGAGAGACACATCAAATTACTCTCTATCTGCATTATATTTTTCTTTACCAGTTTTCGACTGCAGAGTACACTATCATTTGTAGTGGGAAGAGGATAGTATTTGCATGCTGTTTTTTCTTCTGGCGGTACGCAATACAGACGCCTTTCTTTTTGGTATCATTTTATCGGTGCATCTGTAATAGACATTGTGTGGTACCGGCACCTTTTATAGATATTCTGTGGTGTATCGCACCATTTTTTCTAGGAAAGAAAGCTTCAACTTAGTATATATGTTACTGTTGACCAAATTATAACTATCTAGGAGATTGAACAGAGTATCTGGAGTTTATCCTCTTGGATTGATTTCCGGGATGTTACAGGCGCGTCAAACACTTTAGGTAGCAACCCAGAGGGTGGAAAAATCAGTCACTTTGTCAGTTAGTTAATCAGTCAGTTATTACTGTGTGTCCGTTTATAAGCAAATATCATTTACTGTCTAATTGTCTTTTGTGGATTTAACAATGGCGAGATTCACACTGCCAAGTGCCGATAAGTCTATAAAATTAAGGTCTAGCCCTATATGCCCAGTACGACGAAACTGGAGGAAAGGGCCCTTTACTTTACTTTTACGGTGAATAGCTGCATAAGTGGAAGATGATGGCAATTATTTTTTTTAAAAACAAAATACATTTTTATTACAATTGTGTTCTTTCAGTTTTCGTTTAAATTACGTCCCCCTGTGGGTTCCGGCGCCCAAGTTTGGGGAAAGGGGAGAGAAGAAGAGATCATAATGTCTCCCCAACAAGCATGTCGTAGAGGTCGACTAGCTGGGCACTTCCTTCAAAGTCGGAGTGCATCAGTCTGAGAGGCAAAGAACCAAAAGAAATTATACAAATAAGCCACATCTATAAACTAAAACTGATGGCCGTGAAACACCTAAGTTCTAGAACAAGACTTAAGTCTGAAGGCGGACGAACAACCAAAACTTTCCTTCCGAGTGTATAGCTCTTGAACTCAAAGAAGGAGAAAACGATTTAAATTCCTAAAGTGCTGCTTACCAAGCAACCAAACTCACTTTGCTTCAGCTACAGAATATCTATAAAACTGTGATGCCGAGCAGCAAACAGTGCGCTATTAACGAAGAACGAAGATACTTACGTTTGCTTTTCTTAATGCGTCCGCTACAGCTCTTTGTTTTTCTACAGCAAACTCATTTCTTAGCTGTGTCCGCAGCACATCACAAGCTTGCTGGACAGCTTTCTGTTTCATTTTCTCGTGATCCTCTTGCTGTTGCCTTAAAGCTTCCTCCTTCTCCTCCTGTATTTTCTTTCTAAACTCTCTCATCCTCTCTGCCTCGGCTTGATCTCGTTGATGTGAAATTCTTGCTACCAGTCTGTCAAAATACTGGATAAAGTAACAACAATTATAAGTAATATAAGGACAATGAAAAAAAGGTGCCTTTTCCACGCCTTAAGGCGTATAGGGCATATAGGGCTAGACCTATTTTTTTATAATAGACCAATCAGCACAAGATGAGTTATGTGGCCGCCTCTACTTCCCTGGACTGCACCCGGTACCCACTCAAGGCTGGGTCGACCTGGAAGTTAGGTCATTTTTGAAAAAAAAGTATGTCTAGCCGCTATGCCACGGCGACTCCTATGTAAGGACGATAATTAAAGTAATTTGAGAAATTGTCAAATTAATTCTTATATGGGTAACATGAAAGATCCTGGGAAATGAGGGCGACCGGCGAGATGTTGGCCGGACATATCAACAATGGTCTGCAAACATTTAGGTCAAATATATTACTGCTAATGCTCCTTTTGAGAGAAAACGACCATTTACGTTCCTAATTGACAAATACTAGGACGCTGGTGCTATGTGTTGATCCTGTCTTCATATATGGGCACGATGGGCAGTTCCCCAGAGGCCCGTGGAGCATAGGGGCCCAGTCCAATCTAGTCATATACAAGAATGTAACATTTATTCTATTTGGTGGTTGTTTTAGCAAAGTGAGATATGAACACTATAGAGCCAACAAAAGAAAAAGAATAAACCATAACAGAACTGGTGTTATTAGTCGGCACACGCTAATGGTAATACTGAAGATGGGATCAGAGCGTTTATGAGCGTCACCAATGTTCAAGGAAGATGATCTGTGGAATAACTAACTAACTTACACAGAAACCCGTGCAGTGCTTTGTCCATCGGAACATAATGATGGGCTATAAGGTGTTGATCATCTCCTTTTGTGGTCAGTGAGACAACCAGTGTACTCATGGGTCAATCCACTTGATAAACACCAAATTAGAAACCAAATTAAAGTCACACAAAATCCCGAAGACCAAGTAAATTTCCTCACACGAAAGCAACAGACCATTGTACTTTAGCTACCACAGGATACAACAGACTCCGCTGCCATATTTATGAGAAATTCAAGATTGAGGACTGAGAGCTTTGTCAGTGTGAACAGGCCGCCCCAGAATACTGCCCATGTGATAAAGACATGCTTTTTGCTTGCTGGAATTCCAGGGAAATGTGACTAAAAAGCTTCAGAAAATGGGGAGACAGAAACACGTGCACAAAGCAACACAAATAACGTTTCGGCCGGGCAGCCTTTGTCAACCCCCATATTTTCACCATTTCTGCTTGCTGTTGGGAGGTCTCAAATCTGACATGTTTACATTACAGTGGAAATCATGCCCTATAGTTCTGTGGGTGTCGCCTTGCACCACAGCTTTAATAGAGACATGTGGCCTTTTCAACATTTTCAGAAAAATAACTAAACTAAAAGACTACAACACGGATGATCTTGCTTTACATACAGGAAGAGCCCTGTAATGTATGCCATAAGACAGTACTATAGAGCATTATTTGCTGGAGTGTAGGAAATATTAAAACCAAAGGAAACCATTGAATGACTACATGAATATCTGTAAATGACCTATGACGATGGAAAACTTGCTGCAAAAAAACATCTTCAGAGAGCTGCGTGGCAAGGTCAAGCAATTTATTTATCTAAACAGAATACAGCCACAACACTCCCCAGAGTGCCAGCTATGTAACTACCCCTACGAAACTGTTGAACACCATCTATATGAGTGCCCGAAACTCAGCGAGACTAGAAAAATGTTACTCCCTCCGAGACCAGACAAGTGGAACACCTTATACGGAGGAAAAGAACAGCTTGTGAAAACATTCAAATTCCACTACATGGCAATGGGCCAAAGGGCGAAAGCTCATGCGCCACTTGTGGACCGATAACAACAACAATAACAACAACAACATTACTAGTACTAAAATCCATGTATAGAAGGGCGAAGAATGCCCGTGGCGTCTTTGGGAAGTTTTCCCTAAAGAGAAAATCGAGAAGAATAATCAGTGATTGCACGCTAAGGAAACAATATATCCACCATGCTAATGACACAATGTTAGTAAGATTGTCTAATTTTTCACACTACAGTTGCTATCATAATCACAACTCAAATCAAAGCAAAATGTGAAAGAATACAAATTACATTTTGGTCATATAAATAATTACATGATATATTTAAATGTAAAAAAAAAAAATATATACTCTGATACCTCATATAACTCTATATGTCCCAATTATAACTCTGAAGGTTGAACATGAGATTTTTGAAAAAAAATTACTACTACTGCTATAACTACTACTGTACTACTACTACTATTACTACTAAACTACTACTACTACTTCTACTACTACTACTTCTACTACTTCTACTACTACTACTGCTACTATTACCACTACTACTACTAAACGAAATAAAACAAAAATCTCACATTAACAACCTACCCATTGTTGTTTATCTAATGCCCTTTGTCTCTCCTCGTCCTTCTCATGCCTGAGCCGTTTTAGGGCGGCCCTAAGTTCTCTCGTCGCTCTAGCCTCACATGCTTCTATAGCGCCTTGTGTGACTTTATCTTTTTCTCCTTGGTCATCAACTCGTGTTGCATCTACAATCTTGTCTCCAATGTCTGCCAAAACAAAATTTCACCAGTGGTAAAGACCCACTGAAGAACTGAAATTAAGTTCAAAACTCTGCTAAACAAGTATGTGGTAAATGACGACTGATTAACGGTTTGCAGAGTCAAATGTACTGGTCAAAAAGATGCAGATATCGCAGCCTAGCTGAAACCACAACACAGCATGCAGACCATCATTCTATAAGCGAACGCAAAATAAAAATGAAGATATAAATTCAAAGTTGGACAGGATGAATTCATTGCACCAGTTTGTAGTCCCGTGTGACTCATTCATGACACTTATCTGTTCTTTTTTACTGTTACTGTGCCAAACAAAGTACCTTGCGTCTTCCTGGTACATCCAAAGAGAATATGGTATTTTTGCTGTCGTCTATCACAGACATAGGTAATATTACCTGTCTGTGTCTTCGTTGTCTTTGTTTACCGGCAGCAAGCTCTGGTGGAAATCTTAGTTGCTTGTCTGTGTGGACTTAGGCATTATGCCAGGGCCTGCGTTTTGCGTGTACATTCGTTTAACTGGCATATGTGCATGCGTTTGGTTGTTTCTTGCTGCTCGGGCAGATGCTCTCCGACTTTAAAGGAAGCTCTTAATTAGTAGGCTCTATTCTTGTTTTCGCTATAATTGGAGCCCTGGACCAACACGTAGAGTTTGTGTCTGAATTGCGAGCGCGCAAACACAAACATACACAACTTCTGTCTCCTTAAACAGGCCATGGACCCCCCCCCCCCCCCCCCCTTTCCCAGGCCTTCCCTTCAGACGTATTTGGCAGATAAGGCTAGACGTATATTTTTTTAATCAATCGGTACTTGCCGGATGATGTATTTAACATAACACCGGCCGCCTTTACTTTCCAGGACTGCAACTGGTAGCCACTCAAGGCTAGGTTAACCTGGGAGCCAAGGTCATTTTTTTTAAAGAAAGCTCAGTTCCATCAGATTCCCGAACCCACGACGTTCCGGTCCGCAGGCACCCGTCTAGCCGCCACACCAAGGCGACTAACCCGCCAGGAAGGCTTCGTTTTATTGCTGTTTTAAATTGGATTTTTCTTTGTTGGTTCACGGCCATCTTTAGCTATAAATCTAGAGTTGGCGGTGGTTGGTTATAGCTACACCCGGTTGCCGGTCACTACATCATCGCCGAAAACTAGGAGATCAGGCACCTTAAGCCCCGACCCCTTGACGCCCCCCCCCCCCGCCCAAATACCGCATTTCAAGGGAACTCACCCCCACCCCCACCCTCAAATAATGTTAGGGAGCAGAGCCTTGCCCCCCCCCCCGCCCCCCCCCCCTTTACCTCGACGTTTCTTTTCAAGCTTTATATTATTTCATGTATAATTTTATACTAACTTGCCATTCACAACACAATAAAATAATATTAAATATTATTATTGTGTTATTAAACAAGCCTTAATCCTCTTCAACACCCGTCCTCTAGAAAATTAAAGGAAGGATGAGGCACTCCCCGTTTTCCCAAATGTTTTTCCAACCTGTCGCCATAACGTCCCATGGTATAACCTGGTATCAATTTTACTCTGTGTCGAGTGCCAGCAAACGTCAAATTTAAACAAAAACGTGAACTAAACCTCGGACCTGCGGGCGAGTATTTAACATTTTCGCAACTGACCTTCGCTTATGTAGCAAAGCTTTATATGAACTATATACTTCATAGAAACCACCTTAAATCTGTTCGACATTTTGTTTCAAAGACAGATGTTGTTAATAGTATTTAAAGATAAGAGTATCTGAAACCCTTTGCAGTCCTCCAGACGACTCAAAAAGACCCGCGAGACAACATGGAAAGAGAACCTAGCTAAATCAACTCCCAGAAAACAATCAAATCGTTCTGCAGTGGATCCCTGGATATCCGAAAAGGAGTTGGCGGGCATACTTGTAAAAGAATAAAACAAAGGAAAAACGACACGCACATTCGTTATCATGACCATAAATTAACACCTTCAAGACCTTATCAGCAGAAAACAGTAGACAACAATTTTCTAAGAACAGGACACTGCAGGCTCAACTAACTTAGACATTAAATAAAGACTGTTATAATCCTCACATTGTGCACGCCGGATAGGAACACAAACACGTGAGCACAAAGTGCAGGCCTGCCAAATACATGTACAACCACGAAGGAAAATCTGACCCCAAGAGCACAGTGTGCAAAGCAGGCTGTGGGGTACTACGAGGAGCCTGCAACAGACATGCGAATTCGTAGCATCCTGACGATTTCCCCTGAGCAAACAGAAACCGAACGCAAAGAAGAAAATCATGTTATACGAAGCTAGAAAAAATCCTGACGTTGGAAAGATCAAAGGTAGAAAAGACCAACAGGAGGGATAGTCATGGTGGACGGTCCAAGGCGCTGATAAGTAGTCGAGGTTTAAGCTTATCTGAGGACGGGTCTCCCATAGCTCATCCTTTTGGAGAAAAAAAATTAGCTCTAGCCCTATGTTTTGAAAATGACTCAATGAGTGGAGGAGTGGGGAGGGGGGGGGGGTGGAGATACTTTATTTTTTATATTGGGGGGGGGGGAGGGCTGCGAGAACCAAACAAACTGACCCCACACAAGCATGTCCTAAATGTCGACTAATTGTGTATTTATCCTTCAAAATCAAAATGCATCTGCCTGAAACGGGAGGAACCAACAGTCTGCGTGCAAAAAAAGTCAAATCAGTGCAACGGGTGTGCACGTAACTCAAGTTCCGGAAAAAGGTCGAACTGTAGAAGTGGACAAGCAGAACTTTTTCACCAGAGTTTACAGCCGGTGAACGTGGAAAAGGAGAAGCGTCCTTCGCTGTCCTGAAAATCAGAAGGGAAATCAGTCCGAGAAAAACCTTGAAGTTCGCACAGGCAAAGTAAATAAGGCACCTTTTGTCGGATATGATACAACAGTCTGCAATGAGAATTGAATTTCCAGTTTGAAAAGGAACCTAGAGGCCCCCTTGAACCACGTGTAACAAAACAGCCCTCGGTATTATTCATAGTTCGGAGTCAGTGGCTTTGTTGTTGCGAATGCGCTTCGTAATGCCGGAGTGCCGGATTCGATCCCAGCTCCAGGCGATTAGACAACAGAGCGTCTTGAGTTGGGTTTGAAAGTGGTACCTAGAGCTGACCGTTTAGTGGCAATGGCAAACCACTGAACGTAAAATTTGCCTAGAAAAACAACAAAAGCTAAGTTTCCCTGTCCCCTAAATAATTATAATTGTGGACTGACACCCCCCCCCCTTCCCCCTCCCTCAACAAAATTCTTAGCTGCGGTGCGTCTGGGGATCCTCGTGGATTGATTGGGAGGGTGTAATTTAGCTAGGGTCTCACAGACCGTGTAAGACTAGGCCGTGATCTTTGACCCTTGCGCCCTCAGTAAATGTTAAAAGTTCAACTCAGGCTTATCACAATGACAGTATACACAAGGCGGAGAATACTGATTAACAAAAACATGCCTCTGAGATTTAATGCAACCACAATTGTACTGACGATTCGTGATATGTGCTAATTAAACGTATTTAAAAGCACACTTCTATGCACAAAACAACACTCCAAATACTTACCCATAATATGCTCGTGACCCACTCTTTGAGTAACAAGGGTCGTCTTAGTTAACATTCTTTCAAGGGTCTCAAGAGGATCCCTTGTCCGCTTAACAAGCCAGACAGACATTATAAAGATCTAGCAACCACAACTAAGAGTCTTCAGTCTCTTACAGCCCAGCTGCCGCCGTCAGTAACTAGTATTTTTTGGAACGTATAATTACACCTTGAAGAATTGTACTAGGGACGTAATAAACCTACTATTTTAATAACGCCGTTTTAGTAGGATTATCTCAACAATCTTAGTATATTTTCTATCTTAATCACAACTCAAACAAGATGTAAACAGAACAATGTTGGAAGCAATAATATAAATCACGCAACTTGTAAACAAACAAAAAAATTACACAATATATAAAATAACACATATATATGCTCTGATGACTCGGTGAACACTTTATATCTCAATTATAATTCCGCCAGTTGAAGAGGATGTTTTTGTGAAAATTACTACGACATTGAAAAATCCACACGGAGGAGCAGCTGATAGTTGACGGTTTACCAGCTTTTGTAATGTCCAGAAACAAGTTGTTATTTTTGTAATGTATATATGTTATAACAAACGAGAAGCCTGTAGTTGGAACCACTGGCAGTTTGCAGTTCACCAACAGCTGTGAAAGTTCTCTATCCAACGAAAAGTATATCTATCTTTAGTTATTCAGCCTCCCGCAGGCAGTACCAAGATGCTGTTATTATTACCAGTACGTTAAACTAGAAGAAAACCCTGTCCTAGGAAGCATTGATAGTTTATGCTTTACCAAACTTTTTAGAAGTCGTCAGTCTCTAGTAATAGAACACCCCACAGTCAGTAACAAGTTATTAATTATTATTATTGTAACAAATAATTCACTTATAACTAGAAAAGACACACGAAGCAGAAACCACAGGTAGTTTACGGGTTATCATTTATTGTGAAGTTATCTCTCTCTCGTATTAATATAAACACTTGTCGTTTTTAACAATTTGTTATCATTATAACGTATTGTAATAATACTATACTATAAATAGGTTATAGTTATTTTTGAAAAAGAATTCAGGTAAAGTCACAATGAACCCTAATTTTGTTCTTTTAACGAATAAACCCTGGAGTAGAAACCAAACCACTGATAGTTTGCGAATAACCAACCGTTATTAAAGTCCAGTACAATTTGTTGTTATTGCAACTATCAAGTATAACTTATATTTCTTTATCCAGGAAAGTACTCTGTGCTAGGAGCCACTGGTAGTTTACGGTTGCCTGGATCCCAGGATTTGCAGGTTTGACCTCACTCAAAGTTCACATCCGTCGATACATTCAACATGGCGAACTCTAGCAGTATAGAACCTTTCCCATTAGAGGGACTTTTGCCGAAGAAAGAAACTGGTGCAGTTTCATTTCTGACTAAATATCCAGAATATGACGGCCGCGGAATTGTGATAGCTGTTTTGGATACTGGTGTGGATCCAGCAGCGCCTGGGCTTCAGGTAATGAACTACTATATATCGCGTTTTTTTTTGTCTGATGATGTAGCAGGGTTTCGATGTCACCATTTTTCGATAGATAGTGATGATTCACTGATTTGATAATGATGATGATAAAATAATTAATATTGTAATGTAACAGTCAACAGGGCAATGCAACAGAGAGATTATGTGATCTTCAAACAAAGGAGCGTAATAGATTAGATGCAAAAGGCATAAACTTAAGGAGTTGAACTGCTGTGCACTGATTTCCAGTGAACTTCACTGCTCAATAATTTAAATTAAATTACTATAATAATAATAATAATATTAAATACTAAATTAGCAATCGCAGACGACTGAGAACGTAATTTTTTAAAACTAAAATTGGTTAGTAAACCCTCAGAAGAGCCACATAATGTCTGGGAGTTGATATTCTGCAACATTCTGCAGAGGAATCAGTTAATGAATAACAGAACAAGAATCTCTCATGTCATCTCACTGGATACTTTAGTCAAATTTTTTAAAATTCCCTCTACACCAATAAAACCAGCACAGTTAGATAGCTGTAAACAATATCTTTCCAACGGTACCTCATTTAGGCTTGTATGTCATTTCTGAGCTGAGATATGTAGGTTTTTGTGGAGATGAGATGTAAAAACAGCTGCTAAAACTTGTGTCCAAAAAACAAGAAGTTTTCTCTGCGCAACCAAACTGCGCACTTTCGTTTTGGCTTTGTTTTCATTGGACAAGATGGCAGACAATTTTTCTCAGACACAGCCACATAATAGCGATTGCCTGAAAAATGTCACTGTAAATCGAACTAGCCACTGATAAGAAAGAAATTTTATACACAAATGTAAAATTGGACGGAGAATTCAATTATAACTAGCATTACCATGTCTAGTAACAGTTAAAGCCTAAAGCCAACTTTGAATACTTATCGCTATTTTCAATCAAACTGATGTAACAGAAAAACAGAGGACGTCCGACTGTCGTAGACATGCGCTGTTAATCGGGTTCGTTCCCGCCGTTTTCAGCTATTTATAGCTGGTGAAAATCACACCAATCGCAAAATTTCATGAGAGATTAGGACCCATCCCGAAACCCCAGCCGACATTTCCAAAACAAGTTTCGAACGGTTTCCATGGTAACGGAAATTACCAAAAGATCGCAAATTTCCGAACACCGTAGTCGCTAATCTCAGATCTTAAGACTTTACGGCTATCCTCCGAATAACGGGCACAAAAGATGGCGGCCACAAAAACACCCTAACAGAGCCTCAGTCACATGTCAATTGTGCACTTCCGCCGACTTGCGCGGCATGGATCGGGGCTAAACTAGATGGCTGGGACTCACCAGCAGTAGCTTCCGCATCTGCAGCTTTGCTCGTGAGTCCTAGCCATCTAGTTTAGCCCCAATCTATGCCACGTGAGCGGCAGTTGCCGGAAAACCGCAAATTAGGTAGGCGGAAGTGCGCAGTTGACACGTGACCGGGGCCCTGTTTTTGGGCCACCATCTTTTGTGCCCGTTATTCGGAGGATAGTCGACTTTACAGTAGTAGTCCCCTGGCTTTATTGTTATGTGTAAATCATATGATAGTTTAGCTTAGGTGGTTTTAAACCATCTGATTTCATTTCTTAGATTGGTCTGCTTTGCTGAGGACTTTTTTTTTTTTCTGGTGTGTAGTACACGGTGATACACAGTACCAGCACCTTTTTTTGGCGCTACTGTAACATACTCTAATGGCTAGATGCTCACCTATGAATCGGAATGTTGAGGATTCAGGTCCTGTCGAGACCAGACATTTTTTTTTTTCAAAAATGACCTTGGCTGCTAGGTCAACTCAGCCAGGTACAGTCCTGGGAAGTAAAGTTGGCTGGCGTGATGCTGACCACATCACCCACTAAGTGCCATTTGGTCTATAAAATACTGGTCTAGCCCTATATACCCAATACACTTTTTCTTTAAAAACTGTAATGTTTAGTTTATTGTAAGTACTTGTAACTTTCTTCTAGAAAGACAAATGCCTTGGCTCCACTGAATTCTATATATAATGCTGAGTATCGATATCTTTCTAATCCATGCCATAATCCCTGTAAAAAAAAGGCATTAAGTTAAGCTATTTGGTTGCAGCAGTACTGAGTATGCTTGCTGTATTATGTTAATGATTGTTCAGGTTGTGACAGCTGGTATAACATTGATTTTAGATTGCAATACATAGACTGCTTCAAGATTTGACCCTTTGAGTTGAAAACTTAAGAGCAGATGTTTTTCGTTATTGCTAGATGTTGTGATAGCCCTTTTGAAGCAAGTGGGCAGAGCAGAGGCACAGATAGATCATTACGGTCTGAGAAGAATGGCGCAATGAGGAGTTACCAGAAGATCTGGCTGTCGCTCAACACCCAAGGGAAAAGCGAGATGAATATACAATCAGGACAGGCATATACAGTCAAGCAGTTACTTAATTGGAGCACTTTGCTTGCTGCTGAAGATGGGGACAGAGGAGTGCTAATGGAGTGTCCTGAGTGCTGGGATGTCGATTCTTAATTCAACGCCTGTTTGTCCTGGGCAGATAATCTATGAAAGCTCCTTGCCTGAGTTCTAACATATTTATAATACACTGTTTAATGTATGTGAGTTATGGAAGCATGGTGCTTGCATGTAACTTGAGTTGACTTAATTAATGGACTGCTAAAATTGACATTTTTATCTGTGGAAAGGAACTCAGGCCCCTGAAAATGCCTCCATTTGGTAATGACTAATCTCTGATACTAACATGATTACATAACATGGGATTAAAGCATGGGGAAGCCCATCTGTACCACCTTTGAGGCTGAAATAGTAGACATTATAACCAGCTTCTCATGGGAACAATCAATAGACTTACCTTGGAGTGGCTGCTGCATCCAAGGCATACAGTGATACACTAGAGACTCTGTGGTTTGAAGTATTGAAACATCCAGTATACAGGTAATCTGGTAATCTGGTAATCCTAGTTTCATTTATTAGCAAACGGGTCACCCATTGTTCCTCCGCTCCTGTGCCAACGAAAAAATACGTAGCTCACAGTGTCACACCATGCACTCAACTCAGAAGCTGGGTGACGAAACTATATCCTTCCAGTCTACAAATGGAGCAAAAATGCAACGGCCACCGCCTGGCAGAACTGCCACGGCTTTAAAAAAAAAAAAAAAAAAAAAAAAAAAGTGGTCGTGCCTAGTGTCCACTGTGACTTGAAGCATTTTGTGAGGGGTTAACAAATGGTCACCCCAGCAGTACCCTCACTATTAGCTGGGAAAGGTATACGGCTCAGACTTGGCACCATCAGACTTTCATTTATTTGGCCCATTGAAAGAACATTTTCCAGGTCAGAGACATCACAAAAATACATAAATCACTTAGCTGGTATCTTGAAGCAGCCGGGTCGATGACTTCTAAGTAGACTGCCGAGAGACTGACTGACTGACTTTCTACCCCACCAGGACATCACACAAGCGATGAACACCCGATGACACAATGTGCCACCATGTGGGTGATCACCGTGGAGAGGTCCCAGAATCCGCGTTCAGCCTTTAGGCCGAATTTATGGCCAGGCTATATTGTGGCCCCTGGCAAAAGCCAGAGTAG